GGAAGTTTTGTCCTGTAACAGATGAGGGATTTTATTTATCAGATATCTACAGTAAGGATAAAATCACTCCAACGCCTGTCATCCAAACCGCTTTGAAATTTCAATGCCCTTGTTGTGTTTAGTATCTGCTAATGCTTCCATTCTACCCATCCATTTTGTTGAGGGATTTCCATACAGCTCCTTTGGTGCACTCTTCCTTGATCATCATAAAAGTTTCCCATTTTAAATTCTTTCCTATTATCACTTATGATAACCTTCACTTTTCTGTTAAACTGTCTTTCAACAAAAACACAAAAGTGTTGTAAACTATGGCTTGTTTCAACCTTAGATTTCATCATGTATATCTATGTGCATTTACTGTAATCATCCACAATGGTTAAAAAATACTTATATTCATCATGTGAAACTTTACTATAATGTCCCCATACATCACAATGTATCATATCAAAATAATTTTTAGCTCTAATGCCACTATCATAAAAAGGCAGCCTGTGCATCTTAGCTAACAGGTATACAGTGCACAATTTATAATTTTCTGACTGACGTAAATTCAAACCAACAACTGTCTTAGAGTAGGAGGGATGCCCGAGCCTGTAGTGCCAAATGTCAAAAGGGTCTTCTTCCTTTATAGGTCCTAAAGCAGCTGATCCCACAAAAAAAATGGTGGCCTTAATCTTTCAAGCCTTTAAAATCCTTGAGCTCATACAACCCATGTTTAACTTCACCCACTCCAAAAGTCTTCCTAGTCATAAAGTCCTGAATAATATAATGTTGTTGTGAAAAAATTAAACAACATTTGGCATCATGTGCTATTTTACTAGCTGATATCAGATTAAAATTAAAAGTGGGAACACACAACATATCATTCAACAGTAATCTATCATTCAGTTTTACTATCCCAATGTGTGATAGTTTAACTTTTTCCCCATTTGGTAAAACTACATCAGATTCAATATTTGAAGTTATTTGAGTGTACAGGTGTGTGCATGTATGATATGATCTAAAGCCCCTGTGTCTATAATCCAAGGAGTACGTGTGTTTTCATCCATGTTAATTGAACTTGTATTAAACCAAAAAGGCTTACCAATGAAAGTTGTCATGTTAGGATCTTGAGAAGACTCGCTAGTGGAATGCACCATGTTAACAATGGGTCTGTTTTGTTGGACGAGGGACATCAACTGGCTGTACTGTTCCCTCTTTAGTGAGGGAGGTTCATTTTCACTTTGTTGTTCAACTGATTCATTAATAAAAACTTGGTTAACATTTACTTGTCTAGTTCTTGATTGTTGTTTTTGCCCCTTGGGTTGACCTTGCAACTTGTAACAGGTCTCAACTGTATGGCCTAATTTATTACAATGGGAGCATACTGGCGCATTTGGGTTGGCTTTGTATCACCTTTCTAGCGAGTGCCCAGTCATCTTGCAGTGCCTACAAAAGTATTTCCCTTTATTGAAAATTGTGGGCTTAACAGGTTTATTATTTTCCTTAATGCTAAAAGCCATGGCCATGTTAGCTATAAAATCCAGAGAGAGTTGCCTTCGCTTTTCTTCTTGTTGAATAATAGAAAAGACCTCATTCATGCCAGGAAAGGGTCTCATCTTGAGGATCTGTCCTATCATTCCTTTGTAGGAATCATCTAAACCCATGAGAAATTTCATTATATAGTCTCTATCCTGATATCCCACCACAGTCTTCATTTCCCCACAAGTGCAGTTGGGCATTGGTTCATAGTTCACCAATTCATCATTAAATTCTTTAGCTTAGCAAAATAAACCATAACTGGGTCTTGGCTCTATAAGAGATTGCTTGATTTCAAATATCCTAGGTGTGTTCTGTTGAGCATGCCTTTATTCAAGATCAAGCCATAGCTGATGGGCGGTGTCCACATAAAAGGTTTTAGCCTTAATCTCTGGGGATAAGGTGTTCTGCATCAAAGTGATTACAATGTCATTGCACTGTAACCACTATTCTTTGAGCGGATCAGTGGGATCCATTGGCTCGGTAAGGGTTCCATCTATGAACACGAGCTTGTTTTGAATTCTTAATGCTCGTTTCATAGAGCGAGCCCATGTGTAGTAATTATTTCCTTCTAAGGGTTGAGGAACCAGAATAGTACTAGAGTTCAGATTCTTCTCTACATAGTACGGGCTATCAGGATTCATAAAATCTAAGTTTGTTCTGTTCAATGGGCTAGGGTTTCGGTTTGCAGTAGTTTGATTTGAATTTTCACTCTCCATATATAAGTTTGCTCTGATACCATGTAATAAAATATAAAACTTTCATCGATTAAACTTCCTATCTAATCAAGATTTATCACAAATATGAAGAAAGGAAGCTGGTAAGAACCTTGAATCAGTGAAGAAAACAAAGAATGTAAGCTGCAACACTAGAAACCCTGTTAGGTTTCAAAGATGAATTTTCAAAATAATCAACCATTGCAGAAGCGATGCTTTTATACCCATTTGGACGAGTTCACGTGCGACCGTAGTAGAGGAACAAAACATAAGCAGCTTTAATGAAACACTGCATTTTTGGTGGACATAAATACTAGACTTAGGCTTCGAGCCCTCTAGCACAATTTGATCCAATAAGGCACATGATATTAAGAAAAATACATAATATCATATTTTAATAATAATATGAATGTATGCATGATACTATTGTAAACAATTATAAGTCTCAATTTTCGGAATAAATATTGTTCTCTCTCTCTCTCTCTCCCTCCAACCTATTCAACGTACGTACATACATATATATGTACGTATATGTATATGTATATGTATATGTATATATATATATATGCATATGTACATTGATGGATATCCTTATTTGTCGCTAGTTTCCAGTTGGCATCCATATTTGTGGTGATACTTGTCGATATAGAGTGATGTATTGATTGACCAAACTATATTGACTATTTAGCTAGATTAGCCTTAAATGGAAAAAAAAAACAGAGCATTTAGATGAGGATTAATTGTGGAAATTTTCTTAATTGTCATTATGTCGACATTATGATCTTTCTAACATCCTGTATTTTTATATAAATAGAATTGGTCTTGAAATTTTTCAAATGGGTTCGTAGAACCCAATGTGATTAAACTTGGAATTGATCGAAATTTTTTTATTCATTCTTGATATTTAGCTTACTTCTACCATTTATAGTTGATTTCAATTGATCTGTCTGATTAATAGTACGTAAATTTCCAAATACATAAAATATGGGTTCCTTATTTTATACATATGACTTCATAATTTGCTCATAGTTGACAAGTCAACAATTCACTGCAAACTTGTACGAGATACTCCTTCAAAAAAGTGGAATCATGTATCTGTACCATCTACATTTTCTCTCTTTTCACACGGCTACTCGTTTCTCTCTGGATATAACCACAGAACTCATTCTTTAACCCTTCATATTCTTCCTTCAATTTTCTCTTCTGCAACTAGAAGTCTTTGTAATAGCCATGAACGCCAAGTTTCTAATTCTCTTCTGCTGGATTTTACTTCTGGTTTCAAAGCACGTCGGAGCAGATTGCACCTGCGACCCAGAGGAGAACACCGGAGACAAAGGTACAGCACTGAAATACAAAATCGGAGCCATATTCTCGATTCTTGTGGCGGGTGCAATTGGAGTTTGTCTCCCAGTTCTTGGGAAAACTATCCCGGCTTTGCATCCGGAAAAGAACATCTTCTTCATCATCAAAGCTTTCGCCGCCGGAGTCATACTTTCGACTGGATTCATTCACGTTCTTCCCGATGCTTTTAAGAAACTCACATCTCCGTGCTTAAAGGGGACTGCATGGGGGTTTCCTTTCACTGGGTTCATTGCCATGGTGTCCGCGATTGTAACTCTTATGATCGACGCTTTTGCCACCAGCTATTACCAGAAGTCAGCGGTCAAGCGCGCCGGAACTCATGCAGGAGACGAGGAGAAAGTTAGGGATGAAAGTGGAAACTCCGTGCAGGTTCACACTCATGCGACTCACGGCCACGCTCATGGCTCGATCTCTTTGGTTGCAGACTCTCAGTCAGAGCTTCTTCGTCACCGAGTCATCTCACAGGTTGGTTAGTACTTATGATTAGTTACCCCCTTTTTTTTTATAATCTCAAAACTTTCATTGATTTATTTGAATTATTTCCTTTAATATAAAGTCGATGAGATGTATATTTGATATTTTAACCATCTGGGTTTGATTATTTTAATCATTTGGGAAAATAAAACTTCAAAAAAACAAAAATACAAAACCAAAAGTAGCCTTTCTGATTAAAAAAAAAATCAAAGTATAATTTATATTTAATTGGGTACGCAGGTTTTGGAGCTGGGAATTATCGTCCACTCGGTGATAATTGGAATTTCACTGGGTGCTTCTGAAGATGTCGACACAGTAAGAACACTGTTGGGAGCCTTGACCTTCCACCAATTCTTTGAAGGCATGGGACTCGGTGGCTGCATTTCTCAGGTAATCTACAAAACCCATCTTTTATTCTTTTTATAATTATTTTAGAAATAACATGAATTTTTAACTTGTTTGAGAAAAAATTAAACCAAAAGAGTAATTTGTTGTAGGCAAAATTTAAATGCGGAACTATCACAACCATGGCAATCTTTTTTTCTCTAACTACTCCAGTTGGAATCGCAATTGGAATCGGAATATCAAATGTGTACGAAGAAAACAGCACCACGGCGCTCATTGTCGAGGGAATCTTTAACGCAGCCTCGGCTGGAATCTTGATATACATGTCACTCGTTGATCTCCTCGCTGCTGATTTCATGAACCCTAGAATGCAGAGCAATGGAAAGCTTCAATCTATGGCCAGTGCAGCACTTCTTATAGGAGCGGCTTGTATGTCTATCATGGCCAAATGGGCTTGAAAGTTAGTAACAAAATTATCTGTGTGATATTTGAATTTATGATAATTTATTTATTTTTATTTTAAATTTAAATTAGTCGATGTGAATTAATTTTTTATCTTTTACGTAAACGGTAGTATTTTCACATAGTTGGAATCTTAAATATATAGAAATTTATTATTAAATTAATTAACGTTATTAGTGCTGAACAATTTTTGATAGCAGAGTTATATGATTGGCTCAATCTGTACTGAATTTTAAATTTTAATATAAATTTTAACAATCATAAGTAAAATATAATTGATGATTTTTGAATTAAATAGTAGTATTTTAAATTTAATAAATTATAAATTTGAACTAATTGCTGTAGCTATTAAAAAAAAAAAAAAACATAACTATTATAGTTATTTAACACAAAATTTAATTTAAATTGTAATACCTGTCCCGAAATTTGATCCAGTATTAATTTTAAAATTTTAAAAATGTATAAAAATATAATTAAAAATTAATAAATTTTTATTTAATGTGAAATTAGGAACAAAATAGTTGATGATGAATTGAAAATAATTTTTAAAAAAATAGGTAAAAATTTTGGTTTAGATAATGTTTTTGAAAGAAAATTCGAAAACTGAGGGGTTAAAACGCAATTAAAAAAAATTACATCACGTAGGATCGCCCAGTCAGTAGCCCCGACGAACCAGAGTGTCCCGTGTGGTAAGGCACACTGACTCGGTGCCACGCGGGAGACCACGCTGGCAATTCGCGTACCCATGATCGGATGGCCCGGAAGCGTTCCTGCGCGCGTGGACGGTTTGAATCCGTTCCCTCCTCAGGCACGATCGGATGATCGTGATTAAATGCGATAAACGATCTAAATTTGTTTTCTCTTTAAACGCAATGGAACAGTCGAGATCAAATCGTGATGAACGGTCTAAATTCATTTCATCTTTAAAAGTGATTAGACGATCGAGATCAAACGTGATGAACGGTTCAAATTTAAACGAGACAAGTATAAATATCTCGCATCACACCAAACCAAAACCCTAATCGCTAGCCTCTCGCCGGAGAAGAAGAACCACTCACCGTATTAGGGAACCTACCGCCGCCCACTGCCGCGTCAGAGCTACCTCTAACCGTCAAAAATTGTAAAAAATTCTCCTATCCGCTCAGAATTTGATTCCGAGCACCCCCACAGCCAAATCAGAGCAAAAAGAACAATGGATGAGCCGAAAACCGTGGGCAAAACCTGACAGCGCCGTCGCGGGAAAAACCCAAAACTACCTCCGATGAACCCCTTCCCGTTTCCTGTTTCGTGCGATTTATTCATCATTGTGTTCATCGTTCTGTTTTTTATAGGTTGACTGAAGAAAAATGCTCACCCGCGAAGGTGAGTCGGCAGAGCCGCCGCAACAAAAAATTCCGTTGTCAGTAGGTTTCTGTTTTTTAACTTTTTTCGACCAACTGAGGCCCCTAACGTGTTTTCTCGCATGGATGGTATAAAATCAGCTGAAACCAGTCAAAACTAGGCAAAAACGGCCAGTTCGAGGCAAACCACAGCCACGAGCGGTAATGCCGTTGCCGAAGCACGGCGATGCCACCGTGCTGAAATTCTAAAATTGGCCAAAAAATATTTTTAACATCGATTTTAGATTTTTTGGGATACTTTTAGGTACATGAAATGTGTTTTAATCTTCACAGAAAAATTTAAAAAATCCGAGGACCGCTAGTAGGCGCAATAGAAAGTTCTGTGTTTTAGACACTGGTTCGGGTAAGAATCCCTCATCTTATTCTCTGTTATGGAATTGAAACTTCATAATTGGTAATATAGTATTTTGTGTAATTTAAAAAAATTTGAGAATAATTACAGGTTACTAATAGAGCTGGAACCAGTTAGTTCTTTATTTGTCATCTTTAACTGATTATTGAATTTACAATTTTAAATACGTGATGATATACTGGAATGGTTGAATGATTCAGTTGTGCTTCTTTGGTATATATATTGCTTGTTTTGTGTAATTTACATTTGATTTATGAAATTAAAAATTAATATGTAAACGAAAAATTAATTGGTCACGTGAATTAACAAATGGTAGCCTTATTGGATATCCTGAGAGATAGTGGACGAACCGAGTACATAGGAGATCCTACTATGAATATTGTCTCATATCAGATGGGGTATCGAGGAATAGTATTTTTGGCACTCATACCAGACAGGGTATGGGGACGACCCGATTCACCCTCATACCGGACATGGTATTGAGGGATGGTATTTTTGGTGTTCATATCGAAAGGGATATGGAGACGGTCGGTTAGTTGACAATGTTGAATATTGGTTCACATGTAGTGGGACATCCTTATGGACCCCCAAGGATACCAGTAGGCAAATAAAAAAAGAAAGTAGCTGTTATTACTCACTTGAAAATGAGATTGAAATGTTATTTGAATTATTGTATCTCTATAGGTTGAATTTGAAAATCTCGCAACAGTAAATATATGCAGTAAATGATATTTCCTTATGATAAATGAATTTACTTAAGTCAAGAGCTCAATTGATTGTTTTTATGATTTTTACCAACTTTCAGTTTTTGTATCAGTGAGTAGTATGATATTCTTACTGAGTTAGTGTAACTCACCCTTTTATTAACTATTTCATATCAAGAGGACCAAGACCCAGATCCCAATCAACAAGAGGGTTGTGAATAGTTCACTACCTGAACTCCCTTCAAAAGTAGTGAAGGTCGTCCTAAAATGCTCAACATATTGCTTTTTATTTATTTCCTTAATTTTGTTTATTCTTTTATAATGGTCATTCTTATAATCCTATTGGGTATTCTAAATTATTGTATAAGAAATGTAAACCCTAAACTCTATTATTTCGCTTCCGCATTTAACTTATGACCTTATTACTTTTTAAATTTTGGGTCTTTACAGTTGGTATCAGAGCCGCGTTTCTCGGAACCATTCCTTACATAAAAACTTAAAAACACCAAATATGAACTATTGTTCAATCATTCCTTATGAAAAATAAGTACAAAGACACAAGGAGATGAGGTCCCTTATTAAACATGGCAGCCCGAGACAGATCGCTTCAAGAGGATGTTGATCGACTCTTCGAGATTTTAGAAAGACTCATCTCTGCCCAGTAGGCTAGGGAAGATAGGAGGGAACTATCTGACCCTCAACCACTTCCACAATATGAGTTACCCCTACAACGAGAGGATCTAATGCCACTTCAATGCAACCTTGCTCCTTCGTTGTATCATCCGACACTGTCACAGTAAAATTCAGAGCCCCTACCGTATCATCTGACACCGTTACAAGGCCACTCAGTCCCTCCCCAGCAACATTTGGCCCCTTTTCCATAGGACTTGATTTCACCCATGATGGACCTGATAGAGATTAACATGGGGGACCTTGATGTATCTGTAAGAATGAACTGATTAGTGGTGTATCACGCCACCGTATATTATTTCTATGAGAAAAAAATTGTAGTTAAGCCTCCTAAGGAAGGGTCATTTATAAGCTAATAAAAATTTTAAATATGATTCCCTCATAGCAATTTCCTTATTAAATAGTGCTTTAGCTCAGTTGTTTTCTTTAACTGGGCAAACGTAAGAAAAAAATTTACATTCAAGAGATATAGGTAGTCTGAGACTTCCGGATGTGTTTCTGAATGAACTACTCGAATTGGCAGTTGACAGAGAAGTTGAATTCACCATAAATCTTCAGTCAGACACCCAGTTTATCTCAGTTGTCCCTTACTGCATGAATCGTGTTGAGATAGAAGAGCTGAGAAAACATATCAATGAATTGCAGGATAATGGGTTTATCCGACATAGTGTGTTCCCTTAGGGTACTGGAGTCACATTTGCAAGGAAGGGGGATGAGACGTTAAGGTTATGTATTGATTTTAGGGGACTGAACAGGATCATGATCAATAATAAGTATCCCCTCCCCAGGATCGATGATTTTTTTGACCAGTTGCAGGGTGCCCGGTCTTCTCTAAGATAGACCTGCGTTCACGTTACCATCAGATAAAAATCAAGATAGAAAACATCCCCAAAACAGCTTTTTGAACTAAGTACGGACACTATGAGTTCTTGGTCATGCCATTTGGACTAACCAATGCACCAACCATTTTTATGGATTTGATGAACATGATTTTAGATCATTCCTATATCAGTTTGTCATTGTGTTTATCGATGATATCCTGGTCTATTCAAAAAATAGAGAGGAACACGCTCACCATTTGACTCAGGTTTTGCAAGTTCTTAGAGAAAAGAAGTTGTATACAAAGTTGAATAAATGTAGGTTCTGGCTCGAGCAGACTACTTTCTTAAGGTACATCATATCAAGAGATAGAGTGTCAGTGAACCTCGAAAAAATTGAGGCAGTTCTCAGTTGGGAGAAATTAACTTTGGTCAATGAGATTCGTAGTTTTTTAGAGATGATAGGTTATTACTACAGGTTTGTGAAAACATTTTCTAGCCTAGTTGCTCCTTTGACTCGACTCACAAAGAAGAACGTCAAGTTTAAGTGGAACGAGAACTGTGAAAAAAGCTTTTTAAAACTAAAGAAGCGGTTGACTACTGCACCTATGTTGGCATTAGCGACTGGAATAAGTGGATATATAATTTATAGTGATGCCTCCTACCTGGGGTTAGGTTGTGCTCTGATGCAACATGGGGAGATCATAACTTATGGGTCCAGATAGTTGAAGAGTCATGAGAACAACTACCCTACCCATGACTTAGAACTTGTCGCAATTATTTACGTCTTGAAGACTTGGTGTCATTACTTATATGAGGAGATTTTTCATATCTATACTGACCATAAGAGTTTGAAACACATATTCACTCAAAATGATCTCAACATGCGTCAGAGACGATGGATATAACTCTTCAAGAACTACGATTGCAATATCTTGTATCACCCAGACAAGGGTAATATGATAGTCAATACACTTAGCAAAAAAAGTGCAGGTATATTAGCTCACATAATGGTTTTAAAATACAGGGTAATAGGGGCCACACAAGAGGTACAACTTCAGGACCTGAAGAGAGTTA